AAGTACATCAAGACTTTGCTCAATTGTTTGGTGATAAATCATTCATAATTCTTGAAGATCTTATTGTCGACCGAACTAAAACTGCTACTTCTAGCGAATTCTCTAATGCTGATAATTGAGGGTGACGGTAAAGGTGAGACCAGGTAAAAGGAGAATCTCACCCACTCACAAAGGAATGAGTTCATTGATATCGGTTGAAGTATTTTAGTTTGGAAAAAGAGAATCGATTCTTGTATTTCAATCTAACATTTTTTTTTGAACATTCAATGAACAAGGTTTATCCATTTTGTTATGAATTTGTCTTGTTTGTTGGCATCGAATTAAAGTGGCAAGAATATTCAATTGACGAAGGATTCCTTTGATCAAAACATGTTTTCTGATAAAAGAAGAGTATCACTTTTTCAAAAAACATCGTCCATGGTTTTGTTATAGTTAAGAAAAGATCGGCAAGGAAAAATCTGATTTTAAAATGCATAGTACAGTGTCTTTATTCAAATGACTTAATCACACATTCTTTAACGTGACGGCGGACGGTCATTGTTAAGCATCGTATAATATAGTTGAATTGTATGCAACACTTTCGATTCGCTAAGATGGAAATGACAACATTCGATACTTTGCCTGATCTCGTACTTCTCATGCTCGGAATTGATGTATTCATTTGTATCCATCAATACCCTTATCAATACGGTTCTCTTTGAACCAGATGTCATTGGTCACGTGAATTGGCAGCAACTATCTTCTCATCACCGCAATATTATCGAAAATCGTTTAATATCCGTTGCATCTATAACGACTGATTCATTGATATTCGCTGAACAGTTTTTAAAACTTTTGAATCTTCGTCGATTATGCCTCGTCAATACTGTACTAGGAGATGTGATGAAATTCGTATGGACTGATTGGCGTTTTGCACTTGATGGTGTCAACGAGATACGTTTTGTCACTACGAATAATTCTGAAGTGACTTCTCTAGACATGAATAGATTGCCTGTTCTTGTCTCCTATCTAATTGGTTATGTGTCCACTTTACATATATTACATCTACCACTGCATTACATCATCACTTTCTTCATGTGTCCGCCTATTACTATCGCACCTCTACACACTCGTAAGTATCGTCTAGAGACATATTTGTCACAACAATGCAGTTCTATTTGATTAAGAGGTTCTTGAATCGTTAACTGTTTCAAACTTTCTGTTGAACTCGAAATAGAATTGAATATACAGGTTAATTGATAGATTAAGATTTTTGCTTTCTCTGTTTTTTCGTTCATGACTGGTTCTTCATTGTTGAAATTTCCTATAAATATTAATGAATCGGTCATTGAGGTCCAAAGAATACAAAAGCAGAAAGATGTTTGAGCTGTTTTGTATCCGAATAATAACGATCTCTGAAAATTGATCCAATAGAGTCTGTCTCGATATAAACTTAGATAGGCATTCAGTGTTCGTACCAACCTTTCCCAATAACATATCTAGAGCCGTATCACCTACTCATATAATGTTCTTGTGATATTGTATATATTGCGGAGAAAATTCGATCTATTCGATTTCTAGTCACTAGGAATCGAATTGTCTCTTTGGTAACTCCATAGTGTACCTAGAGGTGTTGAAGATTTCTTATCTTCCAGTTCTTATGTCTAAAGATATACGATTTCGAAAAACTACGTCAACAAAATGCGACGAAAGGACTTGTTGTTGCTCAATCTACCTGATTTTGAACTCTGATATCAAAGTTTGATTGAAATAAATAGTACTCTTTGCTTCTTTAGCAAGCATCGCTTATTTGATGTAGAGATAATAGAAAACATACTTCACATTTCGATCTTTCTCAATTGGTCTGAAATAAGTTTGCCTTTTCTTTCATACTTTTATCAAATAAAAGTTTTTTTTTTGTGTTTAGTGTGTGTAGCTGTTGATGAACTTGGCGTACTTCTTCATCTTTTCTACTGTCTACTATGGCGCCTTCGTCAAGTCGATGTTTATGTATACTTCAAAAGTTCATCAAGCTCGTTCTTATTGGATACTCAAAATGATTATACAAAATATGCCATGGTTCAATTGTGACATTTAACAATGCGTGAGGTTATCAGCGGCGGCATGAATAATCAAATTCTAAATTGGATTCCGAGGTTTATTGCTCAAGATTACATACCTGCTCTTCAGACTTTCAAGTTGGTCATAAACGAGAATTCAACGAACTATGCACAACAGACAATCAATAAGGACATATTTGGTCACCTGATCCTCCTATTGATATTCTCTAATATTCTATTTTTCGTCAATTATTGTATTCTAAAATGATGAATAAAAGTTAAAAACAATATGGATTTTCTATTCAAAGGTATGAGTGTGCCTGTGCCTGTGAGAGAAAAGAATACCAGCACTTACACTCACACTCTTCCGTTTCTTCATATATATATCGCGAAAGGAAATCATCGAGACAGTAAGAAGAAAGAAAACTTAGAAAAAAAAAACTAATTATGACTTTATCCGAAACTATATAGATATTGTAACAACAAAATACGTTATCTTTCAAGAACTATTTTATTTGTATCCATTTGTTCTTCTTTTACATATTCAGGGTCTACAAAAGAGATACTCAGTATCGATAGAGAGATAATTGTATAGACCTTCATTTGTGCATCACCAACAAAATATATAGCGAGAAGATGGACAAATCTATAAAAACAACAAGAGAGAAAAATATTAAACTGAAAAAAACTATCTATTGATAAAGAAGTCTTGTAGTAATTATTTACACAATTAATGGAATCAAACTGGAAATATTTATTAAAACTTCGAAAACGAGTAATTTTTTCTATGATTATATTAATAAATAAAATTTTCACAAATATGAAAGATACAAAAATTACTAAAAAGAGGACCGATAAGTCGAAATAAAAGCTATGCTTTGCTCATTTTTTATAAGAAAAAAATTTAATTGGTAATTATTTCAAATATTATATAAAATGAGATTGATTCTTTTATTTCACGGGTTCGATTCTGATTTCGTGACAAGGAAAACTGAAAAATTCCACTTTCAGTTTGATTCTCGATTTCCATTTATTTAGAATCGTCGGATACACCAACCAAAGACATTGATTTTAACCTGATAAATTTTGATAGACTAGAGCAATGACTAGACGGAACATAATTAAGCTAATCAATTAATGAAACTTTTTTTATTTTTAAAACGGTTTGTCCATGAATATATTTTGAATTTATATATTCTCTTAAAAAATAAGATAAATCGTAAAACATTTATGCTGTTGAATAAAAAGATGAAATTGTTTTTCGTTTTTATCTGTTAATACACTTGCAAAAAGTACTCTTGATGGCAAAATTCAATATTTGACATTGTTAACACTTTCATAAAGGTCATTGACATTGAAAACTGAAGCAAGTTGAATTGCATTAACAATGTTTGAAGAATGAAATAATCATATTAATGTAGAAAACTGATTTCTATCATAGAGCTGTCTCTAATTCATCATCTAGACATTCAGAGACTCGTTTTTGTTTTCTTTCTGTTTTCAGTGTCAAAGTTAAATGATTGTAGCCTTGTTTTGAATAAATGTACATCGTTTAACACTTCTCAGTTCAGAGGTGTAGGTGTGAGAGTATAGATGTTGTCTTCAACGACAACCATACCCACACCTACTATCGATTATATTTATTCTGCAAATCAATTATTCACTTGAAAGGAAAGGCAATAGAATCAAATTGAGGTTCACTCTTTCTGAGTAAGTAATTCTTGCTTGTGCATAAATTCTTTCGGTTATACCTCGAATGCTAAATTCTCTTTATATTCTCTGAATCAAATAACTGTATTTTAATGAAGGAAAGACATAGTTTCATTTATGTTGATCAATAGAAATGAAATTTCTCAAAGTAAGAAATAGTCTAATAGTACCGAATCAAACTTGTTCATTCGCATGGCTTTATTTGATTTGATTTTGCATTTGACATAAGAAGAACAAAAGGCTATGCCGTCGATAAGTCACTATATGTTACTTAAAAATTAAATATTTTTATAATAAAAATGTCGGAGAGTAGCATTACTGTTTAGTTTATTTCTTTCTCTTCAACATTGTATACCTTCAGTAAAGAGGATTTAGATGAAGCGAAAACATATCCTCTATTAGTACTAGACTCGGATATTATACTTCTCGATAAATGTCTATTGTTTGATCAATAAATAGTATCAGATAACAGTGAACGAATAACAACTCGTCACACACTTTCTCATACTGAAGTCTTATTTTTAACACTGATGTCAGATCATAATCTATCACAACGTACATATTGTCGTGTGATGGATTCAACAACAACAATTAAATATCTATACAGGAAATGATGATAAAGATACTCTACTTATCACCTCAATCTTCCGAAACTGATGGATATGAAATTTCATCGAACAGAGGATGTCACGTAAAACTAGTCAAAGTTTATCATCCTTGCACAACAAATCAATAAATACTAAGCAATAACATGCATCACTTATATCATGCAAAAATCAATCGATAAGTGATGCTAGAGAAAGTAAAAGTATATTGAGTCCTAGATAAAATAATCATAAACAAAGTTTTAGAAAATATATTAGCTAAAGTACGATCTAATACTAAATACATGTGAGCAAAACGTGGTTGTGAGTGCGTGTCTATTCTTCATTCACACCCACACCTTCTTTTTCACTTTAATGGGCATTGATTTGTCGCTAGTAGCCTTGTTCGCTTCATTAACATACTTGTGGAAAAGACAATTTGATGATAGTAGCTATCACTCTCGTGTATAATATTTTTTAACATATCAACTGAACTTGGATACATAGAAGTAGAAAGAAAAAAAACATCAGCACACAAAAAAATCGTTGAATCAAAAAGAAAAGACTAAATCACTTGTAGTCACTAAAATTTTTCAAAAAAAAATGCGAATGTCTTGTCTTTAGTCAAATATTCTGCTCTATCGCCAAGGATCTTTTCATGTTGACTTCAATATGTTGCTGGAAAGTCCACTCCCAATTCCAATAGTTTTCCGAAAGCATTTGCAAAATCCACAGCAAATTGACTTCCATTGTTGGCATATTCTACCACATATACTTTAAATTGAGGATCTTCAATAAGCAGTATATCGGACGGTAATCTTAATAAAGATTTTGTTTGCACATCTTCGAACTGTGTTGGACCTTGCCAATTACGTTTTTCCCAAGTGTCTTCCAATAAACCACGGAAAAACTCATTTGAAAATGTGGTCGGTGTTAATGTCCACTGTCCTTCGAAACCGCTTCGATCAGTGTGACACCGACCCAAAGAATGAGCACCGATCAAAGCAACAATTTCACGATCATTGAAACCCATTCGATAGAAAGCAAACCGGATACTTTGAGCATCTTGAGAAGCACTCGGTAATCGATTACTGGGCGGCGAATTTTTTCCATTTTCAAAGTCAACTCGTCCATGTCGCCATTTGATGATCGGACCGCCCATTTTTTCGACGGCCACAACAGCAGCTAGCGTGTACAAGTCAGCGTAAGTTAAGCCGGGATTATTATGATAAACACTTCCCAGACGATCTCGTGCTATTTCTAAACCTAAAATGAAACAGCCAATGGAACATTTCGAATAACTTTTAGGTCTACATGTTGAAGAACACTCTTTTCTCTCTAGAAAATCGGAGAGTAGAAAAAATTAAAATTCTCAGCATAATTAGATCTTGACTAGACGATAAAAAGTTGAGCTAAACTTGAAAATAGAGAAAGCTTACAGATTTCAAAATATGTGCTTTGCTTGATGAAGTATATTATTCTTTAGATTTTATCTAACAACTATCGGATCGTTTTTTGAACCCGAATTGACATTTGTTTCTTCTCATATTCCGTGAGGGGAACGGGGGGGTAGACATTTTATCCGAGTAAAGCATGTCATTCTGAAGGAACACGACTTCTCTATCGAGTTGAATTTTCATCCTTAATGCAAAGTTTGTATTTAGTATTCTTTCAAACTAACAAAAAACTTAATAAAATACTTATTTGACCCGTTGAATCGATTTCAGAATAATGTTCAAATACTGATATGTAAAATAATACTGACGAAAAAGGGTCTTTTTTTTTTTACATCTGTTGATATTTTTTTCATTACTATGAACGAGTCAGTCAAAGGAGTCTAAAATTTTGGATTTAGAGATATCCGATTGTACTCTTTCTTTTCTAAACTAGAAAAAGTATGCGAAAAATAACTTTTCAGTCGAGTCATGGGCCACGTATTGTGTTACTTTTGGTCAAATCGAACATGTATATAACATAACAGTTGTATCAATATGGGTTGAAATGCCTTTCATTCGATAGAATTTTGAATATGAAATTGACATTGGCAGAGAGTGTTTAAAAAAACCAAAATAAATAACTGATTATTTATAATTACAAAATATTTTAAGAGCCGAAATGTATTTAGACATAATGTCATATGAATGATTGTGAACGAATATGAGAAGAGAAACTTTAGGAAAGATAAACGACAAATCCTGTTTCATGTCTTAGGTACGGCGCTTCTCCCAAAAACTTGAGCTTTTTCCAGAGTTCTTTTAGAAACCTACATTTTGAAAATACCTGTCCTTCAAGAAATTTTTTTCGACTTTTTCTAGCAAAAATTAAGAAAAACTGCTGTATATTATCTCAAATGAGTCTCAAAAAGTGAATTTTATCTATGATCGCCTCTTCCATTCTCCGTTCCAACACCCAACATTCGCTACTGAATCCGAGATACGGATGGGCACACAGTTATAGAGATCGCACTTAGTTTTTCAGAATAATGGCTCATAGTTCACATTTTTTTTTTCGACATTTTGAATACCTACTTCCAACTGTTGTTGACAAGTAAATTCTTCTATTCTGTACGTGTGTTGCATAACTAAAATTCCTATTTTAATCGAAACTATGAGATTAAAAGCTTATCAGATGTTCGATGAAAGACTTCAATTCAGATGTGAAAATGTTTACCTTTATTGACTGGCCAAGTACTTTGGGGTTCAAAGCGAATACATCCACCATTAGAGCCGCCGGTTGAATCGTAACGGGAGTATGTGCCACTGGCAAGCCAACCCATTCGAATGAATAATGGACCGTAATTCCCATCAACATAGTTTTTGTCCTCCATTAGAGCAGCAATAGATTGTTGTACTTTAGTATAATCAACTGGGGTGACTGAAAAAAAGAGGTCTAATACGAGTCCTTTTTTACAACAAAGTCGAAAAATTTTGAAAAGTTTTGTACGAATCTATGACACCTTCAAAAGACTTGTCAATAGTTTAGGAAACGTTTTTTAACGTTTCATATAAAACCTACGAAATCTTCAAGAAAGTTTCGAATTCGTTGCAATTTTCGAAACTTTTCTAAAACTTCGTATCGTGTACATCGCATGCCCCTAATAAGAACAGCTTTTCAAACGTCTTGAGAGTTTCCTTTTGTTTTCTAAAAATATTTATATACAAACACGTATTGTTTTTAATATTTTTGAGTAGAAAAATAAGTCCTGAATCGAATGCTGTAAAAACCATTTAATTATCTCGAAAAATAACTAAGTAATTAGCCGTAGTTTGAGTTTGCTTGACATTGTCTCTATTAGAAGTACTATGCGTAACAAGAATACTAAACCAACAAATGTTCTGAATAACGACAGGCTATGACAAATGTATAGAAAATAGATGGTTTTTAGTAGATGAATATTTTTCATCTCTAAATTTGAAAATCTTTTTGTAGTCCAGTGACAAAAGCTGCTTCTTATAAATCAAGGAATATTAATCTCAAGGTTGAGAATTTTTCGTCGTATATTGACAAAGATAATGAAATTAAAAATATAACTCGCCTATCCTTTTTAGGAACACTATTCTTAATTCAAACAGTCAGTAGAAAAATGTTCCTAATACGAACAATCTATGTAAAATAAATAGAAAAATAAATCATTTTTCGTAAATGATCTTTTTTTTTTATATCACAAGTTGAAAATTTCGATGTGCTTCTTTGACAAGAAATATCTCTTGATATATTGTCTATTAAGTTCCAATGGTTTGAGATAGACAATTTTCTTTTTTGCATCATATTTTGAGAAAAAGCTATTACGTTAGCCGTACGGAGGCGAATGAACGATGTGAGATTAAAATGAAACTAAAGATTCCTCAAAAAGTCATGGTCTGGCTAGATGCTTGCTATAAAGGGGTGATACTGTTGGCCATTTTCAACCAAGAAATAGTAGATCATGCTCGATATATCCTGAATGTTCTTTTAGTAGCAGTGAAATATGAAAATTTGATCTAAGAAAAAAAAATAGGACATTTGAATAGGACGGTACAAAACTTCACATTCATCAGTTAGCATGACAATGATTCCAAAACGACTTTCCGCCTCTCATTGACAGAGACTATTGGCCACAGAATAGTTCAGATTTAAATCAATAAGATTATTGTATTTAGGAAGAAGTTGCTCAAGTCATCAATTGCGAGAAAGCAACATCGAAAGATACTCTCATTGGAAAATTGAAACGTGCAGCCAAAGAATGCGACAAAATGTTGTTTTAGACAACAGTATATCGTGAACCGTTTGTATGAAACGTTTGTTAAAAAATAATGGATGTTATTTGCATAAATCAGAAAAAGATACCGTTTTGTAGAGAATTAAACGATGGATCTTTTTATAATTACATCTTCCAACATACCTTGGAAATCATTCATTATACCATGATTAAAGAAAAACAACACTAAAACTCATGTATCTCTTGAGATTCGAACAAACCAAAAATATGTACTCAGATTTCTGATGAATTTTCGTAGCTACTATCTATCATCCATTACAAGTATAGGTACTGAGTTATATTTGAAGTTCCTTGTCAAGCAAATACTTTTTAGTAAATTTCTATTTTCTCAACAATGATTAGAGTTATAACAGAAGTTCTTTTATCGTAGATGCTTTCGACAATGGAATATCTTCTCATAGTATTGAAAGTATCTGATGATCTAATATTTTTAAATTGATATTATATACTATTTCTAGAAAGCATTAAACCTTTAGAGAAAGCAAATTGATCAAATCAGCGTGATAGAACAGTTGGAGAGTAGTTTCATTTGAAAGAGCAGAACAAACTGCGTCAACTGTCGTTTTTCAGACTTATTAATTATGAACTTTGGTAGAGGAAATTTTTATCAATAATATTCGAAAGGCGGAAATAGCTGTTTGATTCCGATAATGACGATGGATGATTTGTTCTCAAGGAGTCGGGTGGGTCTATGTGAAGTGTGGATGCGGTATTTGGTGTCACTGAGTATGGAATGTAAGTGTCGATTGAGAGAAGAACTACACTGTCAACACACATACACACCTGATTTTTCATCGATCAAGAACAAAATTCGAAGCAGTTGCTTTTTTTTATCAGCTTAAATTCAAAGTTCAATCAGTCACTTGATCGTTTTCTAAAGATTTCAATTGGGAATGACAGAGATTCTTTAAAATCTGCCTGCTAGAATCCTATTTTACTCATAAAGAACTCAGCCAATTTATCGATGCTTATACGCTTTGCTGTTTTCTCTAGTCTACTATTCGTATCTTGGTGAAATTCAAATACCACTGACGGTGATAAATAGACAAAAAATAGCAGAATATTTGAGCTGTAATCTCAAACTTGATTGGTTGCTAACATGACTGGATTTAAGAACATGATATGTCATACATTGAAGTATTTTCGACTTCGTAAAATCAGGTCGTTTTTTGAAATAGAATGAATTTTTCAATCGGTGGTTCATTCTCGATTGTAATAGTGAGGCTTTATCATTTGATGTATGCTCTGTGAAGAAAAATGTTCATTTTCTTATTTATCACTTTCTTTCTATGTCTCAAATAATTAATGTTCTTTGAAGTATAAAAAGGGTGCATGCAATATGACTGGATAAATTGAGATATACGAGAAGAAGAATATAGAGACGAGTTAAATACATCAACTCTATCTCTTCTCTAACGAATTTGTCACTGATCCAACAAAAGATCTTTCGGTGGGAAGGAATAAGATGCAAAGATAGTATATTCTTTATGAATCGAAAAGTCTGTATGTTTTTTAATCTATAGAGAGTATCAAAACGCATACTTGTTCGAGATCTTGTCCCCAAAACAGAGCCGACAATGGCTGCCACGATAAGTATAACCACAAGTAAGCTGACTGAAATGATGAATCTCTTCTTGCAGTACCATTGACGTCTTGTAAATGTGATGAAAAGTCTTGTTAACGTATAGATAGATGAAGATGAGATTAGACTTACTTAGTTTTAGGGAAAAGATATGCACCTAAGGAAAGAAATGCATCAATTTAAAACAAATGATTAAAAATGTCTAAACTACCTTTGAATGGTGGTTCCAATGGAGTTGTCTCTGGTATTATTTGTTTCAAGTGAACGATATGAAGACCAGCTCCTGGATTCAATTGCGATTGAACTATCATGTGAGTGCCGGGCAGAAGAAGAACTTCGTCTTCACTAAGAAAATGTGAATGAGCATGTATAGTTCGACCATTGATAGCTTCTATAGAGAATAATGTCCGATCGCCAGTCGTCCCTAAATATATGTCGTTCTCAAGCACAGTCAATGAAGTTGTGCATGATGAAAATGCCCACCAAGTCACTGGAGTGCCAGGAGAAAAATTTGTGCTCAAGTTTTTAGTCACTCCTCGCCAAATGGTTAATGGTGGTAGGCATGGTAATTTGGCTAGAGCAGTTAAGAACAGTTTCAAGTACTTGAAATAGGGTTGAAGATGCTCGCGATTATTATTCTTGAGAGTGCGATTGAGCATCGCATAAAGACTCAGATCTGGTTCGTCCCATTCGATGGTGTAGAGACGAATCGCAGCACTCTCGTCAACTGTAAGTCCATCAGATGGTTGTTCTGGGGTTTCGTTGAGTGCCATTTGAACGTAGAACCATAAATTATGAACAATGTTGGTCAGCGGAGCACACGCTTTGACAAGTGGCAGCAAAGTCTCTTCGGCATATTCCACAATAGGACTGATGTCAGCTTCAATGTCACTGATGGTACGTGAGGGTGTCAAATGTAGTCCTCTAGTGGTGGTTTCTACGAATCGATGATTCTTTCTCATGGAGTTCTGTGCATTACCAGAATTCTGCATTGTTACCAATATTTGTGCATGATCTGTTGTCTGCTGACCAGGACCTTCCATTATCGTTTGCTTTATGGATGATGATCGACACTTAAAACTCAAATATCGATTATTGTTCGTAACGACAAAGATAAGTAATTCTCAGTAATTGGGACTTATCAACGAATTTTCAAAGTGATAAAGATGAATGTTAACAAATTTCGAAAGATTATCATTACCATTTACTATCAGGTTTACTTGAATTCTTGGTACAGAAATAATAGATTCGAACTGAGTTGAAAAGAGATAGAATTACAACTTCTTAGTCAATGATGAACCATATACAGTGCTGCTATCATCAGGAATTACCTGACGAAACAGGATTAAAGTCTTCTTACATTCAAAAAAAAGTTTACAGAACAATTAAAATGAATTGTAAACACTAGCAATAGAGATAATTTTCAAAAATCTATATATCTGACAATAATATTCTAATGACTGCTACACCATGATAGAGAGCGTATGAGTGAAATCTATTATATTGTTTGGTACAGAATTCTATACTCTCATTTGACTCAAAACACAATTGTTTTCACATTATTTATTTAATCAAACAATGAATTTTCGTTTTCTGCAACTAAAAATAACATATTTTTAACAAAACAAATTCATAGTCGTAAATATTAACTATGCTACTCGGCTATGTATAGTTTTTGATTGAACTGCAGCTTAAATTATCAGGAAAAAGTCGATAAGACAGAAATTTCAACAACATTTAAACTTTTCAGTAACTCAAAAAACACATATTGGAAATAGTTTCTGAATCAGATGTGGATTGCGTATCGATCTCAATCATGTCTAATGTTAAAATCATACTAGTGCTATACATCCGACTATTAAACTACTTTAATTTCCTTGCAAAATCATCCTAATAATTGATTTACTACAACAGTAGGTGTCGATCTTTATTTTTG